CAGTGTTTCTTGACTTTTTACACTTCTTCAGTGCTTCAAGTTTAGTTTCAACTGTCATAGCATTTATTAAGAAAAAAATAGACCTAGGAAATATCTATGTTTTCCTCAGAATGGAGAAATGTTCAAACCAACCTCAGAACATTTACCGACAATTTACGACATTACTGCGTACTCATATAGTGCCATACGTTCATATCTGAGAATCGAAACATGAACAGCACATCGAACATGAACTAGTGATCCAATTCAGCATCATCAAAGGGTTCAATCTGTGACACCTAGGCCCAAAAAGTATACAAAGAAAGTAAAAAACCATTTGGATCATGTATCACGGTTTATCTGTGCAAAAAATTCCACAATTTGTGCCTTTATTTTTTGCCTATGCTAAAAAGCGCCATTCTTCCATAGTTCAATTAAAATTAAGAATTTTTCAATCCTACGGTGAGAAGAGTAATAGAATTTTGTTGCAAATATTAACTATCATAAAGTTCTAACGATTTTCATCAGTTTTCTTAAGCAGACACCGACGATAGATAGACGTCGCATTTTCCTGTTGGCACTTAAAGGTAGCATTTTTTTCACAGTTAAATTAAAAAACGAAGTCTAGCGGTTGCGGCGATCAGAATGACAGAAACCTGCTGCAAATATGAACTGACGCATATGTAAACTATTTTCACTTGTTCTTCTCTGCTCAGACACCGAGGAAAAGGGCGGCGCCGAAAACGATCTGAGGATCACACTCTCGCACATAAGTTGCAATGAAATAAATGTGTAAAGCTCATTAGTGGCGTCTCGTATAAATGTATGAAATTAGCAATGACTCTGTGGTCTGCATGACTTAAATCAATTAAGCTTGAATTTACAATTGCAAATTTAGATAAAAATTTGCATCTGTCACACATCATCAGCGAAGACCCCTAAGAATCAAACAGTAAACACTTGAATGTCAGAGAACACGCCAATATTGTTACGTTTTTGCCTTTTAGCTATTTATATGTATCGCCGGCGATTCGCGAACTTGGGGACTGATGTTCTAAAAAGCCGCAGCACTGAACTTCGTCGATAGGTTACACAAAATCGAACCACATTAAGCTCAGTTGCTTCTCAGCTGAAAAATAAGTGAGTAAAAATAACGACCGACTGAAAGCGTCACTGAGCCCTCAATTCAGCGTCAAAATCGCGCATCTTCCTCAAGTTCATGAATGCGTTGCAAACCTACAAAAGTTAACTGCTACTATTGATCGTTGTATTCAGCACCGCGAGCCATTTGCCCTAGCTTTGTGATGTCCATGGAGTTTACAGCATTCTAACAATTTGCTACAATCAACAGGTCACAGTATCATGGGAAAAGCGCTTCCACTCTGGTCGCATATCTACGCCTGTCATGCTGATCAGAGTCACATGCCAGCCTGCGTGTAGACGTGTGCTGGTTTCCAAATCGATAGCAAGAAGTTTCTGGACTGAACTGAGGAGACTATGTTAAGATATATGTATGTGTGTATGCATGTATGTATGTATGTATGAATGTATGTATGTATGTAAGTATGTATGCATGCATGTATGCATGTATGTATGTATGTGTGTATGTGTGTATGTATGTATGTATGTATGTATGCATGTATGTATGTATGTAT